GAGCGTGCGGCGGTTGTGAGCTCATACTTACCTGGCAAGGGAAACACCATGATCTGGAAGGTGGTTTTCCCAGGGCGAGACTCACCCATTGCACTGCGGGTGTGCTGACCTCTGCGATTTCCCCAAATGCGGGAAACTCGACTGCATAATTTGTGGTAGTGGGGGACTGCGTTCGCGCTCTCCCCTGAGTTATTTTGTGCAGAAAAATAGAGTAAGTTTTTGTGTTTCTTGCTGCTTGTTACGACTGAAATTCAAGCTGTTTTTTTTGTCTTTCCTACTTCGTTTTTTAGGAATATTTTGCTCTTGTATGCACAATCACGTTTTCATCTCAAGCAATTTTGAGCTTTAAGTCACCATTAGATTTAGTCAGCGTGGGGTTTGTATTGTAAGTCTTGTTGCTTGTTGCTTGTTGCTTTAGTAAGTTGTGGCCATTGCTTTCTTGGCTGTTTGTTATTCTTGTACAGGGTTGCAGGTTCATATTGAGACGCTCGAGTACCCTTTTCAGAGCAGTTCTGGTCTCAGCGTTGTCAAGACTAGTTTAGGCTGCGTCGTCATTCATCCCACTGGATTTGATTGCTTCCATTCAAAATATTTTTATTAACCATTTTATTGGCAGGTTTTACAGATATAACAGGTATATTAATTGTATACTTGCTGCCAACTATCAGTTTCGTAACATTTTCTTTCTATGGAACTCTAGAAATCATAATTACATATTGTGGGTTTTTCGGGGGGTGGTGGGGTGGTGTTTATCTTTCCACCTGCACTTGTATTGTTAACCCTCTGTGGGGTTATACAGTCTTCATTGCTCTCAGGTCCCCAACCCCAACCCTTGTCTTTCCAGTTTTTTTTTCCTTTGGGCCAGAACAGACCATTATTTGCACCTTAGATGGTCACTGGGAAGAGTGACATGAAAAGTGGAACACAATTCAGAATCATGGAAGAGAAACCGCTTACTGGACCGATGGAGGGTAGGGTAGGTGGGACCACCAACAGTGTGGCTACTTAATCACCCTCCAGACCTAAATCGGAAGCCATAATCAATCCTTTTAAAGTCAAAAGGCCACCCTTTGCCAAGGATGAACAGTGATCTAACAAGTGACCTGAGGTAAAATATAACAGTGATTTAATACTGACACTTCATTACTTTAAACAAAAATGACGGCTTACTTTGTAGGAAATAACAAGAAAAAGCCCTTCATTAACACTTACAGCCAGCACCGTAAGCAAATACACGTTAACACAGTTTACTAAAGCAAGAGAAAGGGACTTAAGTATAAGTCTGTTGTTTTGTACGAAATAACTCAGGGGAGAACGCGAACGCAGTCCCCTACTACCACAAATTATGCAGTCGAGTTTCCCACATTTGAGGAAATCGCAGAGGTCAGCACACCCGCAGTGCAATGGGTGAGTTTCGCCCTAAGAAAACCACCTTCCAGATCACGGTGTTTCCCCTGCCAGGTAAATATGAGATCACACCCGCCGCACGCTCACACCCCCCAGCCCGCCACGCTTCTTACACACGCCCCCTTGCACAGCGCGCCCCCCGCACCTGCGCCTCCCCAGCAGCCCCTCCGCCCACGTCGCCCAGCAGAGAGCAAAGCCCACTTGGCGCTCCTGCGGGTAGCAGGACGTGGGGTCCCGGCCCGAGCCCCCGACCGACAGGCGCTGCGCGGTGAGCTCATCTGCATACGCCGCGGTGAGCTCATCTGCATACGCACCGCCTCCGCGGTGACGTCCCAGCAAACTCCTGGTCCCTCATCCTTTTTAACTCGGCATTGATTTATCCACGTTCGTGAAGTAGTCGTGAAGAAACCGGCTACAGCCGCCTTCACACTACGGACTCACTTGGTCCCCTAGCCTATAAGGGAACACTGAAGCGTCTCTGACACTCGACCGAAACGGATGGGGACCACTTTGCCT